CCCTCCCCCTGCCCCCTGTCCCCTCCCCGTCCCTTGACGCTTGCATAGATTGGGCTCGCGGCTCGTCGAGTATATTCTAATAAGCTTCGAGGTATGAGAGAGAGACTGACGGTACGAGGGTAACCAAACGAGAATAACTCCCACCGTACCGTCCGTGACTAACATGCGAGAAAAGAAGCCTCTCTATTGCCCGCAAAAGCTCGACGTTGCGAATATAATGCGACTGATATTACTAGTAGCGAGACTGATGATTACCGAGACGCTACTCTCTTTTCTTTCTACCGGAGGCTCATACGCAGTCCGAAATGAAATCGATCGAGTCACGGACCAGTTTAGCCTTCATCGCCGAACTTTTTGTCTATACTCGACATACCCCGCCGGTGTCGAGCTGTTTTTTAAAACTCTCTCTGCTCGTTCCTGAGTTCTTTTTTGGGTCGAACGTTTGCTGGGAACGGAGGCGGCTTTGTTTAATAGCATGATGGACTTAGAGCTTTGCCGATTTTCCTTTTCATATATATTTTTTTATAACTGACTGAATGATAAAATCACGTTCAAATCATGTCCAAAGAGATAACTTTCCATTTTTTGACTGCTTCTAAGCTTCGTATATATCATATTCGGTCAAAGCATGCTTATATTCGTATCTTCGACTGTATATAAATCTTTTTTTAATCGGTGATGAAACAAGGCGAAGATACGTACCCAACGATTTGTTTGTCTAACCTGCGATGCTTTGATTTTGTGCCAAAAGGGCTGGACGAAAGAAAGATTTTCTCGAATAATTTTGCAAAGATCGCGCGTCGGACAACACTTGCGACTTCTCGCAAGCTGCACTTATATATTTTTCCTATTTTTCTTTACAAAAAACATAAAAATAAAAAAGCGTACAATATAGTTTTGATCTCAGCGTTCGCTTGGGACGCGCGTAGAAAGTGTTAAGTTCATCGATCCAGAAAGGGGTTTTCCGTTGCCGAGTGTACAATTACGAACTCGACGAACCTGCGAGCTGCGGTCGCTAGTAGTGCGACAGCGAAGATTACCGAGAATTATCTACACGTACACGAGTCGCAGACGCGTAAATACACACACACACACACACACACACACACACAGAGAGAGAGAGGACACACTGATAGATGATCTCGCACAGACATCCTACACGTGAAAAAGAGAGGGAAAAAGAAGAGAGGGTCACGGGCCCCTCGATTCGCCACGAAATCACGTAGTGAATATATAGCGAACGGCGCGTTCGTTCCACCCGGCTTCCCTCGCCATTAGAGTATTATCTTAAAATGATATCTTTATATAAGCGAAATAGCAATGGAAAAATATAATAGCTCTAATATATTATAAATATAAACAACATATGTATATATACTATATATATATGTGTGTATATGTATATATATATATATTTATATACCGTGCATATATAAATATATATATGTATGTGTATATATGACGTTTGATCGTGGGTGTACGAAAGCGAGAGAAAAAGGGATGTGTGTGTGCGTGCATGTGTGTGTGTGTATGCGCGAATGAAAGAGAGAAAATATAGGCGACGAATGATATTTTGTCGACGAGATCTAGATTTTTGTATTTTTCGCGCATTTCGCCGACGGGACGACGGGTGGTCCTTTGGGCCGTAACGCCATAGAGAAAGAGATAAATTATTAACATATTATCTAGGAATATGTTACATGATGCGTAGAGAAAATGGAAAATTGCAGAAAATTATGCGGATAAAAAAAAAATAAAGAGGGAGAGAATAGAACGCAACGCGTAAGTCGAGGGGCCGCGCGTCCGCTCTCGGGCAGGAAGAACGAGCGCAAAAAATGGGGTCGGTCGATGGCGCCGACAAACTCTTGCGAGTTGTATTTTTCAACTCGTCATAATCGAGCGGATCGCTTAAATCCGATGCTAGGAACGACACTCGTTTCACGTTAGGGATCGATGATGCATACGTAGTAGCGTTTTTTTTTTCGTTTGGAAAGACATAATCATATATTATCGCTATATTACCTTGCATCAATATAAATATATATACATATATATATATATGTATATATATA